GAAGGGTTCCTACTTTTTTCGGTCCTCCTCGTCGCTGCTCTCGACGCTGGCGACAAATATTTTTGCTCGGGATCGACTATCTTGCTTTTGCAAGCTCATCTCTCTACCTCTCCGCTGCCTGGCTATTATCTAAACAGAAGTCGATCGTGATGGTCGCCTTCTCTATAGGACTTCGCGTGGGCAGTACGACAGCCTGTGTGGTTCAAATCAGACGCCGTTCTTTGCAAGATTTTATTTTGAACGACGACGACGACGCGTACAGTACTTGCAAATCTCCACGATGCGCTGGATACTCCGAGCGTTGAGTTGGAGGTAAGGGAGCTGAGATCTCAGCTTGACGAGCGATCCCTGAGGTGAGCGATCTCGGCCGTTCAGCAAAATAGAGCTGATTCCGAGTAGCCGATTACTTTCTTGTGGCTTGCGCTGCTCTTGCCTGCACAGCGTAACAAGATAATCTATTTTGATGCGGCGCTGTATCAATCAGAATCACCCACCCGTCGCTCTCGAAATCCACTCGAACTGTAGCTAGACCTTTCAGGTACTAGTAAACTAACTTACTAACCAAGAATTGGGATGAAATGGGCTGCCGAGTGAGCTTTGGCGACATATAAACAAAGCTGAAAGATAAGCGACAATATCGCTGACGCGGACCAAGTACATGGGTCCATTGGGGAGGTTGCTGACGGCGGACCCTGGTTGTCAGCGACGCTTAGTTTCCCCGACCGCGTCCACGACCCCGGTGACCACCACGGTTAGCCGGTGTGTATCTGTGGTGCGGACAGTCAGGTGCGAAATGCATTGTGCTGTCGCACACATAGCACCGCTTGGTGTCACCATCTCCACTCCGATGCAGATTAGTTGGCCTCTCCAGCGTGAGCCTGGAGATCTTGTCCTCCAGGGCTGCCATCCTCGACAGCAGGGCGTTGAGTGTAGGGTCACTGGGTTGAGATTGCACCGCACATATAACTGGGCTAGCTGCCTGCTGCTGCTGGTCTGCCTCCAGGATGCACTGAAAATGCATAGCCCGTCGGAGTGCATCATCCAATGTTGGTGGGTCCGTGCCACGAACATGCAGGCGCAGGTCCCTGCTGTCAAGGCCGGCTACAAAGGTGTCGCGCGCCAGGGTATCCTGCACTGCTCCAGCCACCGTGGGGTACGCCCGTCTACTGAGCCTGCGGACGACTTCCGCAAAATCCGACAGGGACTCGCCACGAATTTGCCGGCGTGACTGCAGCTCTGCTCTGAACGTGGGGATGAAGTTTGCGTCGCCGAATCGCTGTTCAAACGCCTGCAGCAGCTGGTCGAATGGGCCTGTCCTCGTATGGGCTTCCAAACTTTGGAAGTATGACAGTGCGTGGCCGGTGAGGTACAACCCAATGTACCTGCTTTGGTCTGCCGGTGTCCAGTTGTTTGCATTCGCGACGAGGCGAAAATGGCCAATCCATGATGTCCAGTCGGCATTGCGCTCGCCAGAGAATTTCTCTGGCGTGGCCCATGCCCGCATCTGCTGTTGTGGACGTGCTAGTTGTTGCGCTGGGCCCGGTGGTGGTGGTGGAGGGGGCGGAGGAGCGCCACCTTGCTGAGCCATCTCTAGTATTCTCTACACGATCAGTCTTCCACAAATAATTTGGTACGCGTGCTCTCACAAGACGTGGAATTCGAATTTGCTGCCACCACGTGTAACCTTGGCCTGAGGTTACAATTACACTCACAGGAGCATAAACTCCCCAGCCCCCAGCCAGGCACCAGTTCCAACCATGACAAGACGTTGAGATCAAAACTGCAACTCTCAAGTCAAAACATTCTCTCAAAGCAAAAGGAAAAACCAGCATCATAACAGAGCGAGCCAACGAAAAGGATACGCATGCGTGTGTGCCTGTGAGTGTGTACGAATGACGTATGCATACATGTCATGAAGTAGAGTCACATTCATAGCTACAATCAAGAGTGGAAATATTACTACGCCAAACGGAACATGTGCAACATGTTACAGGTGGTGCTGTGGGTGTTACATTATAGTTATAGTTCTGCATTTTTTTTTTCAAGTCACGATTAGACTCTGGCAAGCGGACTAAACCGTGAGCCTGGAGCTAGATTTGTTGGTTTCCGGGAATCCTTCTTCTTCACCCCAGTTGCCAACTCTGGTGAGGACTCAGTGCTGGCATTCCTGCCTCGACGTTCAGGCGTGAACCAAGTGTGGATCGCTTCGGTGTCGATGTTTGATGCCACTTCTGATAGGAGTCGCTCTGTCCGTTCTGGATCTCGCTCTGCAATGTCTACTTCGACGTCCGCGAGGGGAGTTCTGGGGTGTGCTGTCATGCTTGACAGCGATCCCTGTGCGGACGACATGTCTGGCTCAGTCAAACAGTATCTGTCAGGTTTTTCAACGCTGAAGTAACCTCAGTAGGCCCCTCATCGACTTTCGTAGTTTTCAAATTCAAATCCGTTTCGAACACTTCAGTGCTGACTGCGGGTTCTCCAACATTTGACCCCACAGGAGTTGCACTCGTACTACATCCAATACTCGAGAGAGTACTTGGGCTGGTGCTGGGCCTGCTGGCAGTGCTGCTGCTGGAGCGTGCCGAGTCTGGCGACTCGTGTTTTGGACTCCGGTCTGTAAGGTAAGTAATAGTTCACAGGTTGCACTCCGACAGTTGCAGTTGCGCTTGTTCTGGTGTGCGTGGTTCGCTTGGCGTATGTCGTTCCTGTGGCGAGTTTGCAATCTGCGGCGATGTGTCCCGGTTGGGAGCATTTACGACAGGTTGCAGGCTGGCCTTCGTAGCGTACACGAAACAAGTTGTTCGTAGATGTTTTCACATACGACAGAATCTGCATGTTGGGGCGAAGAGAGAATGTGGCGAAGCGGACACCAGTGGCAATGGCGAGCCCTGACTTCGTCTTGACAAATCCATGGCGAAGAGGCCCAACGGCCGATCCAAAGACACCCAGGCTTTCGATAATAACGTCGTCTTGGACCCAGATGGGCACATCGTGGATTTGGATTTCCACGGAATCAGGCACCAGTTGAGTGACGCGCACTTCCACTGACATGAGATGGAAACCGTTTCGGCAAATTCGTGTCAGAGTGTCTCGGGAATGAAACGTGGCCTTGCAGCTCAAGTTACTAGTCAGCTGCACGGATATCAGGTCGGTGTAGCCATGTTCAATCAGGGCCTCAGCAACTTCGAGGGTTTTCGCGTGCAGTGGAACGTGGAAAGTACCCGTGTTCCTCTTTAGAACTTTCGGAGAGACCGAATTCCAACTGCGATTTTCACCGGATGTGGGCATTTTGGAACGCTCTAACTATCTACTACCTAATTTTAAACTATCCAGTCCCTACCCTGCTCCAGACCGGCCTGCTGCCGGCTGGCTCCTACAAAACCTACGAAAAACTACGGAGCTTGAAAAAAGCTAACTGCCCTGTAGCTTATCTAGATGTTCTGTATCTGTGCACACGGATCTGCTGTGTGTGTGACTCTGTGTGTCAGCTATGACATAAACCCCTGTGGTTCCATGCCTAGCATGTACGTCTGAACCATCCTGCAAAGTTTGAATGACGTAGGTTGAGCGATCGCTCCGCGAAACATACTTTTTGAAATTCTCTTCATAGTATATCTTCCACCATTGAAATTTCGAATTTCTTCAAAAAAAGTGCTGAGAGGGGTGGCTTGCAACCTCGATATGGCTTGTTCCAGGAGCCATCCCCTGTTGAAGTAGTGGCGGGGATCTGCCCTGCAACTGCTACAACGAAAAATGATTCGATCTGAGAAAGGATGAGACCACGAATCTCGGTTGAATATTGAGTATTTCAAGCCTTTTCACGACGAAGACGGAGTTCTTTTTTTTTGGAGATGGACGTCGCGGCAAAGGACATGGTGTCCGACTTCTGGCATCTGGTGAAGCCAGGGATCATTTGTCCAGTCAGGTCAGCTGCCTAACCGTCGGTAAGCTTGTGTTTGGATCCCGTTCTGCTCGATGGGGTAGATCACAAACAATTTAATATCGCACAAATTGATCTCAGCATCATGCGTACGGTATTTTATATTCAGAAAATTCTAAAGTGTCTCTGTGTGGCCGTCCTATGCCATGAGAAACTCCAATCAGGCTCCTATGTCCTCTGCCTTCATGATTGAATCGTCAGGCGAAATTACTGGTCAGTCGGCGACACGCATTTTTCACAAAACATTGCGTTTCATCTGCTGGGAGAGTATGCGTGTACTCGAGTCTCATCCTGAGCACGTCTTTTTTCTTTCTTTTTTCCGCTCCAGTATAGATGTATTTTTCATTGCAAAGCCCTCCTCGATTGATGTGTTCGTTGTTCAAACGAAGTGGACATTCAATCATGAAGGCAGAGGACATAGGAGCCTGATTGGAGTTTCTCGTGGCATAGGACGGCCACACAGAGACACTTTGGGATTTTCTGAATATAAAATACCGTACGCACGATGCTGAGATCAATTTGTGCGATATCAAATTGTTTGTGATCTACCACATCGAGCAGAACGGGATCCAAACACAAGCTTACCGACGGTTAGGCAGCTGACCTGACTGGACAAATGATCCCTGGCTTCACCAGACGCCAGAAGTCGGACACCATGTCCTTTGCCGCGACGTCCATCTCCAAAAAGAACTCCATCTTTGTCGTGAAAAGGCTTGAAATACTCAATATTCAACCGAGATTCGCGGTCTCACCCTTTCTCAGATCGAATCATTTTTTGTTGTAGCAGTTGCAGGGCAGATCCCTGCCACTACTTCAACAGAAGATGGCTCCAAAGCATGCCCATACTCTCCCAGCAGGTGAAACGCAAATTTTTGTGAAAAATGCGTGTCGCCGACTGACCAGTAATTTCACCTGATGTGTGTGTGTGTGTGTGTGTGTGTGTGTGTGTGTGTGTGTGTGTGTGCGTGTGTGTGTGTGTGTGTGTTTACTGCCACTGTCACATCCAATGTGTAGTCCGTCACGCATGCTCACACTTCTCCATTCTGCTGTCTGCATCCAGGCACCTTAACAACAACAATCTAGCCGTGTTATCGTCAAACACTTTCTCTGCCTTGCCGAACCTTGTGGTCATGTAAGTATACAAGCATCTGCAAGCCCAGCACTGCAGATCTTCTCTGGAAACTCATACATACAGCTTTGTTTATGTTCTTGTACTAGTAGATCAAGTAGCGTGCTCCACTGCTCCGAGAGTGCTCAATAGTGACCCATATAGGGCAGAGCATTCCACACAATAGAGAGACAGAGAGACAAAGAGAGAGAGAGAGAGAGACAGAGACAGAGACAGAGACAGAGACAGAGACAGAGACAGAGACAGAGACAGAGACAGAGACAGAGACAGAGACAGAGACAGAGACAGAGACAGAGACAGAGACAGAGACAGAGACAGAGACAGAGACAGAGACAGAGACAGAGACAGAGACAGAGACAGAGACAGAGACAGAGACAGAGAGAGAGAGAGAGAGAGAGAGAGAGAGAGAGAGAGAGAGAGAGAGAGAGAGAGAGAGAGAGAGAGAGAGAGAGAGAGAGAGAGAGAGAGAGAGAGAGAGAGAGAGAGAGAGAGAGAGAGAGAGAGAGAGAGAGAGAGAGAGAGAGAGAGAGAGAGAGAGAGAGAGAGAGAGAGAGAGAGAGAGAGAGAGAGAGAGAGAGAGAGAGAGAGAGAGAGAGAGAGAGAGAGAGAGAGAGAGAGAGAGAGAGAGAGAGAGAGAGAGAGAGAGAGAGAGAGAGAGAGAGAGAGAGAGAGAGAGAGAGAGAGGAAGAGGGAGAGGGAGAGAGAGGGAGAGAGTAAGTTACATTTATAAAGACAGGTAAGTCTAACATGTGAGAACTGAGACCTCTACAGCAGGGTTTTAATGCATGAAAGCAGCTGAATGATTTAACAAGCAGGTTGTCAGTTTAGATTTAATGCGCAGATGGAAAAAATGTGCAGAATTTTTGTAATGAGATGAAAAGATGAAATAATAGAAATAATAAGAAAAGATTAAATGAAAGCCTGCTCACAACCCTACCCAGCCTTGCGAACAGGGAATGGTGGATGAAGAACTCAGGTTCAATGCTCAAGCAAGGGCCCTCCACTCGAGGAGAGAGAGAGAGAGAAAGAGAGAGAGAAAGAGGGAGAGAGAGAAGATGCAGCCCAGCTTCTTCCCCTTCCCGTCTCTCCCTCTCTCTCTCTCTCTCTCTCTCTCTCTCTCTCTCTCTCTCTCTCTCTCTCTCTCTCTCTCTCTCTCTCTCTGTATCTCTCTCTCTGTATCTCTCTCTGTCTCTGTCTGTCTCGGTCTGGCTCGGTCTCTCTCTCTCTCTCTCTCTCTCTCTCTCTCTCTCTCTCTCTCTCTCCAAACAAAAACTCATTGCAGGCACGGAGGACTTTCTCTCGTGGACCCAATGTATGTAGGCGCCGCAAAAATGCAAAAGCAGTGCAGCAAAGCTTGTAGATGGCTGGTACAAGGTTTGTACGTGAATTGCACTTTTATGAGTTTACCATTTCTGAAGAAATGGTCAGGCCTACTTCGATGCGCAAACTCTGCCATTCTTTTTATTGGCAGTCGCAAACGCTTTGGCTTATGCCTCCACTACCTCCCTACAGTGTGGAAAAAGTGCAAGTCCATCAAATGGCACATTCTTCGGTCGAGTGGGGACGCGCGCATGAGGGCGCTGTACACTCTGCGTTGGAGTAAGGATGCGAAGCTGACAAAGCGATATGCGGCGACAATAGAGCTGGAGTGTGCAGAGGCATCAGTAGGTTCAGGGACTCTCCGTCCACCGTCATCTTCAAGTCATCGTGCAGGGTTGGGTGCTCGTGCTCCGAAGCAGCATTCCAAACCCCCGAGGAAGGATCTCCTTCAAACATTTGAGGAGATCAACGCGCAGGAGCAGATTTTGAGGCTGAAGACTCTTCAGGTGCAAGGCAAGTGGTTGGAGTGGACATCGGTGATGTGGCAGGACCTCTCGTGGAGATCCCTTTTGTACGGTGGTACTGGTAAGGATTTGAAATTTCTTCTCGCATCAACCCTCGACGTGCTACCTTCTCCGACAAACCTACGCCGTTGGGGAAACACCGGAGTGGATCCGTACTGTAGTTTGTGCCGTGCCTGGGCCTGTACTAGGCGCCACGTGCTTGGCGCTTGTCGCGTAGCGCTGGACCAGGGACGCTACAACTGGAGGCATGACAACGTACTCGGGGTCATCGTCAGGGACATGCGTGAGGAGATTCGAAACCGCACTGCTGCAAACACCCTACAAACCGAAAATTCAAATGAGCTTCACTTCATCTCGTTTTGCAAGGCGGGAGAGAAGCCAGTTCACGTTCAGCCCAGACGAAAGTTGGTTACGACTGATCTCCTGTCAGCGGCCTCAGACTGGAAACATCTTGTTGACTCAGTTAGTGCAATGATTTCTTTCCCTATCTGTGTTGCACTTGCCACCCTAAGACCAGATATAGTTCTGTACTCTACGAGTCGTAGGATTGTATTCTGGATGGAGTTGACAGTTTGTGCTGAGGACAGATTCAGTGTCAGTAACTCGCGGAAGGACAGGCGGTGTGTGGATCTGGCCGATCAATGCTGAGCAAACGCCGGGTGGCAGGTCGTTTCTTTTTCGGTCGAGGTAGGTGTGCATGGTTTCATCCCGGACTCTCTTCGGAGGGCTCTGAAAGCGCTTGGGTTTTCTAAACGAAGAATAAAATTTATTCCCATAGCTATGCAGAAGACGTTACTTCAGTAACGTCTGGCGCTAGCCAGGGTCCACACAGCTTTAATTTGGTATTTTTTTCTTTATTCTCACGATGGCACCATCGCCAATAAGAGATAAATTGATGAGAAGGTGAGATTGTGGGTTAAACAGTTGGAAAGTGATTTACATCACTTTGAACTTTACAAGTATGGGAGAGGGTGAGCGCTGCAGGAGCAGATTGAGTTAATCAGCAGTGAGCAGATTTCTTGTTTGAAAGCAGGTCGGGAGGAGATGTCACGAATGCTAGCAGGGAGGGCATTAAAGTATTCTAGGGACTTGTACAGTGGGGAGTCTTTACAGCGATCGGTTCTGGAGGGTGGGAGGTGCCAAGTGCGTGCGTGTCGAAGGCTGTACTGGGCCGTAACTTGAGCGGGGGTGTTGAGCAAGCGTATGTGTTGTGGGGCATATTGGTATTTTATGGAGTGAGCAAGAAGGGTGAGCTTCACTTTGCGGCGAGAGAACATTGTCGGCCATTTGAGCCGATGGAGCAGTGTTGAATGATCCAGAGGAGTGTAAAGGGGGAGACGGAGGCAGATTCTGGCCGCCTTGCGCTGGATTCGCTCAAGACGGTCAAGAGCTGCGATTGAGAGCGGGGTGACAGCAATGCATGCATATTCAATTATAGGCAGGATATACGTTTTGTAAATGAGAGAGAGAGTGATTTAGTGTGTAGAGTTGATTTGAGCCTAAAGAGAATATTAAAAGATTTTACGGCAGGCAGGCATAGTGGGATGGTCTAAGACCATGATTGAGAAACAGAGGGTACCAGGTTCAAGTCCTGCTTGGAAGCGGAAGGATTTTTTCCAGCCGTGCTGCGACCCACAGTTAATTGGGAACTCGTGGCCTGGCACGAGGGAAACATGGATGCAGTGAATGGGATTTCGGTCTTTGACCACTTTGTGGTGGGTCTGATCTACTCACCTCCCACCGTTTAGGAGCTGCATCTGCGCCTTGATCCAAGAGGGTGGTGGCGTTCCTGCGGATGCGGAAAACTGGGCCTTTGGCCGAGTCTCACGCGAACCGTGAATTTTTTTTTTTTTTTTTTTTACGGCTTTCTTCAGCACAAAGTCAAGGTGGGCTGACCATCTTAGGTCGTGCTGAAAGATGATGCCGAGGTGACGATGTTGTGTTACTGTTTCTAATAGGGTTTGGCCAAGTTTTATTTCGGGTAGTTGTGGTGGGGGTCGGTTAGCATGGTAGAACGGGAGGATGACGGTTTTCGTTTTATTGACTAGCAGGTGCCAGTGCTCTAGCCATTCTGCTGCGGCATCGACGCTTCTTTGTAGCGCAGCCTCACACTCAATGTAGCTGCCTGCAATGGCAATCAGTGCGGTGTCGTCCGCGAACTGGCTACACGAGGTTGTAGCATTTTCACAGGCAGTGGGCAGGAACAGAAGTGGTCCCAGGACCGAGCCCTGGGGCACTCCTGCTGGTATTGGTATGAAGGCGGATGTTGTGCCTTCAACCTGCACCCGCTGTCTGCGTCCTGTCAAGTAGGCTTCAAGCCAATTGTGAGCCTTGCCGTCGACACCATAGTGGCTCAGCTTTTTCAGCTAGCCTTGATGCCATACATGATCAAAGGCTTTACTGAGATCGAAGAAACACGTTACAACATGCTTCCCCGCATCCCTAGCTGTGGATATCTGGTGGACGATCCGTGCGAGTTGCAGTTCGATCCCGTCTTGTTTCCTGAAGCCGGATTGGTTGGAGGGTAAGTGCGGTGCTATGTGATTGTACAGACGAGAGTGGACTATTTTTTCTTGTGTTTTTGATATTATACTGAGCAGGGAGATGGGTCGGTAGTTGGTAGGATGGGAGGGGTTGCCCGACTTGGGGATGGGTGTAATAGTTGCGTCTTTCCAATCCTGTGGTATTTCTCCGGTTCTGAAGGACAGATTGTAGAGACTAGTGAGAGATGGGGAGATTTCCTTTGCAGTTTCTTTCAGGAGCCGAGTTGGGATGTTGTCAAAGCCTGGGCTCTTGCCAGTGTCTAGACTGCATAGAAGCTTCTCGACCTCTTCCACTGTTGCTGCGATTGTATTTAGAGTATGACTGATGTCAGGGGTAGTGTTGATGTCTGGTGTAGTACAGGTGGTCTTGTCGATGGACTGTTGGCTTTGGGAGATAAAGAACTTGTTGAGAGCTGTTGCTTTCTCCATAGCCGTGGCTGCAGTGGAGTTGGCTGTCGATAGTGTGGGAATTGTTTGCTTAGGCGGTTTTTTCAGGTGCTTCAGTAGACGGTGGAGGTTTGTACCCGTTGACGTTGTTTGCTGGACAAAGTCGGACTTAGCCTGTCGCAAAAGAGCGGTTACTCGGTTACGCTGGGCTGTGTACAGTTTCCAATCTGAGTCTAGTTGGGTCGCCTTGTAGGTGCGGAACTGTTTGTGCTTTGTTTTGATCTGGCTGAGGAGATCCTTCGTCATCCAGGGACGAGTGGGCGTAGAATTTTTGCGGGACTTGCTTCTGGTCACTTGGCAGTGGTGCACGGCTAGTTTCAGTATATGGTCTCTCCAGAAGTTCCAGAATGAGGTTACTGGCTGAGGGTCAGTGGGATGTGGATCGTACTGCAGATTGCAGGTAGCAAGAGCTTCACGCAGGGACGCAATGCGTTCCTCGCTATTTGTTTGTGTGTTTGTTTGTTTGTGTCACGCCTGGCGCTATCCCGTATCTGACTGCAAAAAAATCATAGGGATGTTATAAATGTTTCAATTCTCCTGTTTTTTTTTCAGGCATATCCTGGGATTCGAACCCACACTATTGCCCTACATGCATTCCCCCATACACTTCGCATTCATACCCATTCTTCCAAGTTGCTTCACGTTATGATCTTGCGTTTGAAAGCCCTATTTGAATATTGCGGGCAGCTGTATGTGGCCAGCTGTGTTTGATGGTACGGTTTGGGAGACGGTGTCGTATTACCTTCGATCGCACCTGTCCCGTACCTATCCCTACCGTACCGTACCATCAAAGATGGCTGGCCACAATGCATATTCAAATAGGGCTTTCAAATGCAAGATCATAATGTGAAGCAACTTGGAAAAATTAGTATGTATGCGAAGTGTATCGGGGGATGCATGCAGGGCGCGATAGTGCGGGTTCGAATCCCAGGTTATGTCTTAAAAAAGAGGAATTTTTTAAAGAATTTTTAACATCGCTATGCTTTTTTTTGTCTAGGTCATCAAGGCAAAAAAGAATAGCGTAGGGCCCTGAGCTTCCTAGCTCTCTCGTTTGTAATTTGTGCAGTAAGACATCTCTGCGAAGCAGCTATATTATCTGGTTGCGACGTCAACAAAAACACTGGTCGGAAGATCCACTTTTCTGAGGTATTGTATGTGGGGCTCCGTTTATTGAGGTGCGTTGAAATTTATTCTCTTTATCTTATTATTTTATGATAGCTATAAAGAGAACAAATTCTGCTGTCATCGCCACACTACAACAAAGTCATGAAGGATTACCGAAATCGATTTTCTTGTCACAATCATCAGTGGAAAGCCGTGACTGAAGAATAACCATGCTAAATCAATGATTTATTGATTTAGTATTAACTGGTTTGAGGGAAAGAGACAAACGGGAAAAGTCTGAAGAAAATATTGACTGTCACCACCACCACCTTGATTTAGCATGGTTATTCTTCAGTCACGGCTTTCCACTGATGATTGTGACTAGAAAATCGATTTTGGTAAGCCTTAATGACTTTGTTGTAGTGTGGCGATGACAGCAGAATTTGTTCTCTTTATAGCTATCATAAAATTGGTTGTGAGCAACACTGGCTCACACTCAAATCACTGCTTTTCACCAGAAAAATATTTTATTTCAACGTTTCGGTCATGAAATAACCATCATCAGGAATGAAGTGGGCACATCGGTTAGGATGGGTAAATAAATGAGGAGCGCTGCGAACTGATAACAAATCACACCTGAAGCACTATTACGAGAGAGAAAAAAAAGGACAAAACATCACAAAAAAAACCTGGTATAGAAATAACGTAATACGCGACAACTCTAAATATGGCACAGGTACAGGCAACAAACAGAATGTACATGTCCACTAGGTGCGTACATACATGTAATCGCAGGCGCTAGCAACAACAGTAGTAGTAACAGTGCATGGGGTGCAAAACCACCACTATCCAGGAAAAGCGAGTATGCTACGAGCATGCTACACACAGCAAGACTGGCAGAACGTACGAAAAATCTAGGGCTGAAACGATCATTCAATATCTCTTAACGATCAACCAATATCATTAACGATCGATATATTGGTTTTATCGATTCTTGTCGGCTCTACCCGTGTACCTCGAACACAAGTTTATGAAGAAATTCCACGATAACTTTGCAACGTTAGAAATTTGTGGCTCCGCACTGTTGACATCTGTAGACATCTGGCTGGTTTATCGACATGAACTAGAGGATTTCACGTTGTTTCTAGAGCGAAGAATCTCGTCATCACCCTCCGGCAACTGCTCTGACCTTTCCCACAAATGAACTGAAAAGACACAGTCTTCTCTCCCGATCCCTTTCAAAGCCACAAGTCAATTTTACTGTGCTTGAAAGTACATGATTGCACTCGTATCCACTATCGGATGGAGTGCAAGGGCTAGAATACTGTCACTCATATACATGCATAAACAATCGTTAGCACTCGTTTTGAATACTAACGATTATCGATTCCACTCTTAACGATCAATAGGCGAGACACGCATAAACAATCGTTAGCACTCGTTTTGAATACTAACGATTATCGATTCCACTCTTAACGATCAATAGGCGAGTTATCGGTATAATTGTTTCAGCCCTAGAAAAATCCATATCAAATTTCACTGCAGTTGACACGGAGTTTGGTACGTAGTGCCGTGTAGCAGAATCTCTCTATTCAGTGGCTTTTCCTCCTGTCTCGATTTTATGTGCTGTAACTTCATGCAGAGACTTGTCGGGCAATTTCCTGACGCACATTGACGATAACACGTTTTCCTCAAGTCAATATCTCAACAGCTTGTAAGTGAAAACACGCTTGTAAACTCTGGGCAGGTGAGACCAGCTTCACTAGTTCTCTACCTATTCCACTGTTTTCATCTTCTTCAAGTCTCTCTCCCTCTCTCTGTAGCCGTTTCTCTCTCTCTCTCCCTCTCTCTCTCTCTCTCTGTAGCCGTTTCTCTCTCTCTCTCTCTCTCTCTCTCATTGGGCATAGGTAGGCTGGGTGATTTCCAAGTGATATTCTTGTCCAGTGTGCACCAGCAGGGGCATCTTAACTAGGCTTCATAGTTTGGATGACGAAGAGGTTCCCAGATAGTGGCCAGATGGGATGGACCCCAAATGTACCGTAGCTTGTTAAGACAAGCCATACAATTATGACTGCGGGGCCTTAGCACCCATTCCAGCCAGTCCAGCCAGGGTCGGACCTAAGACCATACTAAGTTATTTTCTATGTTTCGCATCATTGCGGGGTACCTTTTCGAATCGTTGACAAGGAAAAAAGTACCCAGACGAGTCAATCAATTGCTGTTCTGGCGAACACTCTCTAAGCAGTATTGCATATCAGAGGCCATCAGCTTTTCGATAGCCTTGTATTCCAGACAATGATACGTAGAAAGTGGGAGCGATGAAACTTTTATTTTTTCCAAATTGGACCTGAACTCTTCACTGTTTCTCTGTGAGCAGCTGCCTTCGGGAATGAGCACAGTAAGTAATTTTGTCTTTTTTTCTCTATGATGCCATTTTGCGACCCTCTCACAAATTTGATAGTTGATATCTGGCCATTACCGTGTTTCCTCGATTAATGGACCATGCTCGAATAATAGACCATGCTCAAACAGTAGACCCTCCTAGAGGCCTCTCGGAGAAATAGTAGACCATGCGCGAATAAGAGACCCGGTCTCTTATTTGAGTTCATCGCTTTGCGCATGCGCACTAAGAAAGCACGTGGTGGATCAAAAAAGGACGCAATTTCAGGTTGCGCAACTACAATTTTTGTAGTGGCTAGTGCTTTCTTTCATTATTTGAGCACGGTCCACTATATTTTCATCGGCACATCGCTGGAAATGGTGGATTTTTAGCACGTCATTATTATAGAACTTCTATAATTATTATCACGTGTTAAAAATCCACCATTTCCAGCAATGTGCCAATGAAAATATAGTGGACCGTGCTCAAATAATGGACCATGCCCAAATAAGAGACCGGGGGTCCAACCCTCTTCAAAAAACAAAAGACCAGGTCTATTAATCGAGGAAATACAGTAAGTTATACGAATCATATTGAAACCAGCTGAGGCGAAAAACGATGTTTTATTCGGGCGCAGATGGGTTTGGGACCAAAATAATTATCTTTGCTGCAATATTCGAAGGGTGTGACCGTCTCATCGATTGGCGAATCTGGATTGAGCGCGAGCAGACTGTGTACTCCAAGAAAGGCCGGCCCAATCGACCAAAGCAATGGTGTAGTCCGCAAAAGTTTGCACATCGTACCAAGATCCTGTGAAAGCTGTCAAAATTACACAAAAAAACGTTAAAAGTCTATTTCCATTCCAGCCTCTCCTGGTGTAGGGTCCGGTGTGGTTGAATTGCACTCCATGTACACTAACTCAGAATTCGGCCAATCGACCACACTTACTCGGAGCACTTTCTCGGGATTCGCCCAATTGATCATGGCCCAAGACTAACCCCAATCAAAGCAATTTTCTGCATTGTAGAGACGAGCATAGTCAAGAATGCGTCATAAAGGAAAAAAAGGGACAAAAAAATTATAATTATGGTACCAAACTCTGGCTCTTTTGGTCTACATGGAGTGTATTTTGGTGTCGGTGTGTCCATAATTGCAGAAATCTCACCAATAACAGGCTGACCAGACTTCCATATGTGTCGTTGAACACGTCGTTCTTGTGAGTATGCATATCGTCAGTGTGTTGCCTGTCTCCGTCTATCCTGCACATCATCAGTTTGTTGCCTGCCTCTATCCTCCACGTCATCAGCCTGCCTCTATCCTTAACATTATCAACCTGCCTCTATCCTCCACATCATCAGTATGACATCATTGTTGCCTGCCTCTATCCTCCACATCATCAGTATGACATCATTGTTGCATGCCTCTATCCTCCATATCATCAGTATGACATCATTGTTGCATGCCTCTATCCTCCACATCATCAGTATGACATCATTGTTGCATGCCTCTATCCTCCGCATCATCAGTATGTTGCCTGCCTCTATCCTGCACATCATCAGTATGACATCATTGTTGCATGCCTCTATCCTCCACATCCGAGTCATCAGTATGTTGCCTGCCTCTATCCTGCACATCATCAGCATGTTGCCTGCCTTCATCAAGTGATTGGGTGCACAGTCAAATTCCACCCTGCTTGTTTTCTACCAGTACTTGTCACAGTGGCAGACAATTCAGCCTTGCTTGAGAAGCTTGCTGATATTTGTTTAAAACGTTAGTTACAGAGCTGAGGATGCTGCTGCCGTGGCTTTTTGTTGCTGTTGCTGCTGTTGCGGTTGCTGCTGCTGGCAGTGTTGCTGCTGCTGCTGCTGTGGCTGTTGCTGCTGCTGCTGTGTTTTGTGTTACTGCTGTTGCTGCTGCTGCTGCTTCTGGTGGTGTAGCTATGAATGACTATATTGCTGCCCTTCTCACTCTTGCTGTCTCTTAGGTATGCCGACGGGAATGAAATAACTCATCTCCAAGGTGATATGCTCAGTTACGTCCACAACAGGAAGTTACGCCACATGTAGGTGATTGAGACGTTTGGCAGTGCGCGCAGCCAACGAAACCATTTTATGATGTCATAATTTGTATTGCCGATACCCCACACATTCCCTACTGAGTCCTAACTAGGGGTGAAACGAATATACCGAACATTCGAATATTCGTTCGTTAGGCCACAGCGAACGAACATTCGTAGTTCTCACGAACATTCGAACTTTGAGAATGTGCGTATGGTACGATAAACCCGTAAAAACATCGCGATCAGTCACGATCGTTTCACACACCGCCTGTAGAATAATTATGATTGTGTAGCTGCGTGCTTGTGACCAGCGCTGCGCCAGGTGGTACACGACCCGCGCGCGCGCGGTTCACGATCTAAACCGGCACTTGGCTGGAGTCGAGGCGACGACATGTAGACGAACATCGGAACAAAGCATGAGTACTCGTACATGTACTTACATATTTTGGCTGCTCGCTCTTCCTTTGACCACTTCGTAATTTTCTTTTGTTTCGAGTTCGCACTGTTCCCATGTCAGAAACTGTTTTCAGTCGTGCTCCCCGTTCTGTTGTTTGGGATCATTTTACCAAATCCGAGGATGAGAAGTCAGCTACCTGCAGGATTTCCCGCAGCGCAAAACGGTGAGCAACCTCTATGCGCAGCTGAAAACACAACTACGGTAACTTTCAGCATTCTTCTGTCGTCTCTGGGAGTGCAGTTATTTCTACGGCATCAACACTGAACAGGAAGCAAGTTGATGACAAACGTTGCTGTGACGCAACGTTCTGGTCCGCAGCAGTAGCAGTATGGCGTTGCTCAGTTGGAGGCCATTGTGCCTCAACTTTTGAAAGCATCATAAAAGACGTACAGTAAAACCTGTAACTAACGACCACCCCTTGGTGCCTGGAAAAGTGGTCTTTAGTGGCAGGTGGTCTTTAGTTAGAGGTTTGCACCGCGTGACCATATATGGATCCCATATATGATATGTATGTCAAAATGCAGATAATACAATCCCCCACCACTTGCGCACTGACATTCTTCTTTCAGATCATACAACACTTGGAGAGAGAGAAAATCAAGTTTTATTGCAGACATTAAATTCAGCTCCTACTTCTGAAGCCAGGAGTCAAGACGACAAGAGTTCCTGTTGAAGCTTCTCTATGCGCTGGTGTGTACCAGTACTCGATCTACGTATATTAGTCCTAGGGCCCATTTGAAATTTCTCACTTTTACTTGACACATGTTTGCTAACATAGATTTTATGATCATTCCTGGATGGTTTTCGCCTCCTGAACACGATGGCATAGGTTTCGATTGTCGAATTGTGTCCGAACATGGTGAAAAACATCAAAATGGAAAAGGTCGTTATTACCATGGCAACCCAACTAGAATTGCTCCTATATCCATTTTTACTGACACGTATATGGCCAAGTAACACCTCATTTCGCTCAGAATAAGCAGTAGATACAGTACAGCAACAAGTACTGTACTTTAACAGTGTCAAAACAAAATTTCCAAAGTGCAGTGAAACTACTTGGCTATTGGACATGTTCATGTACATTTACATGTCGCGTCGAATGTTAGCATTGAGGTACGTGTACATGTATGTGCAGCTAGCAGGTACATGAGACTATTTACAGGCATGCATTACTATAATTATCAGACTGCAAACACGAGAGAAGCGTCAGACGGTTCGGCGTTACACTTCAACTGAGAGAATAGGTATTGTAACCCAAATACTAACAGGAGAAGGAAAAGGTGGTAGGAAACTGTCAGAGTCTAAGGAACGAAGTGCTATAGGACAGTTTCAACCTGAACTAATTTACTCGAAGTACGTGTAGATAATACGATAGATCTCGCAGCAATGTAAGAAGGACAACACTACTTGTATGCGATGGCAGTGCTGTAACGAAAAATGATGAAAATGAAAATACCAAAATCCTTTGCATAAAACAGTCCAAACATTGGATAGCTTGTCACTGTACTTAAATGCTTTGAAAAGACTTCAAGGCTGCAGTTGGACAACGCTCACATGTGAATAGCTGCAGTTTAAAAAGCTGATCGATCCCAACATTGTGATGCGAATACTTTCGCTTCCATGTGTTTCCCTTTAACTGAAGTTGTTCTTCCGTCTGAGCTTCGGAAACTCTACGCCGTACAGCTGAGCCCATCTCTACTCCGCCACCTACACCATCACTGTTGGCTCTGCAGTCAGGGACAATTCTTTAGCCACTAGTACATGAGGTATTATATAAACATGTTTTCCCTCTTCACCACCGCTCTTGAATCGCATCAACTACGTGCCGTGATCAGTTCAGGAGAGACAAGCCATGACATTGGACATCGGACTCTTTCTTGCAGTTAGTGTTTTATAAGTATAACTGTAGTTTCACACTGCCTAGGCCCAGCCATCAAATTCTGCGACAAGGAAATGATTCACCTACTGCTGGTGTTGCATATTGGGATAGGTTACCTCCAGGTACTCGGATTTCGTTTTTGTAACACTCCACACCACATAGCTACTCCCTCTCACTGCAGCATGGCACTCCTAAGGCAGTTGTCCTAGAGCTGTTGAGCTGGTAAAGAGGCTTTGTGATAATGGTAGCTGATCACCACGGTCGGTGTGTTCAAATCATGGTACTAACACTAGCCGCTCTTGTAGATTCGAATCAAATGCTCGTCCCCTGCAACACTGTAACACCTCCTGTGCAGCAGTACTCACAAAGTAAATGCCTTTATTCCAGCCCGATGAAGTTAGCCAGGTCTGAAACTTTCCACGGTTGTAGATTAGTCCTATGAATAGTTACAACTGGCTTGGCAAGCTATGATGACTTTCCCCTGCTTTCCACACATAATTGTTGTGCTGCTCCTTGTTGGAATCATGCCTACTTTTCCGGGGAGCCAAGATGACATTGTAATGAAGGTTCTGCTGAATTTAGCATCGATCCATTCGTGGACGTTCCGACAGCAAAAGCACCAGCGAGTCAATGCAAAACTTTGAAGAAAGTGTCCAAACGAGGTACCACATTTCCATTTCTGGTATGTCACAACTACACTACTTGATGCTCAATCTTTCCAACTCTCGCACAAAATCAGTGTACGCGCTGGTTCGCATCCTGTGTATGTACGGTGTTACTATAGCTCCTGGCACATAAAAGGGTAAAAACTCCCAGGTCCAGTCAATATAGTACCGAGAAAGTCTTGAAAATGCTTGAATATAGCCGATGAGAACTTAGTTTTTTCGGCAATTTTGTATTCCTATCGAGGGTGATTTCGGGACCTTTGGACGCGATTGGACTCGCCATACTGGGCCAAGATGCTCTTGAAGACATTATCTATCAAATAACACCGAAAAATCCTTGTTAGCCAACATGTGTCAAGGCATGTATTTTAGAGGTCGATTTTTTGAATTGGCCCCAGTACTATATGTACGTGACGCAGCGATGTTGCGAGTTTTCGCACCTTCACTGTATCGCCATCGTATCCTGGGATTCCTGGCCTGTGTTCCGTACAGGTGAGTACATGTACCATAGCATGCTAGCTAGCCAGCACAGACTGTCAGTGTGACCTGGTGACTGAGCTGTGTGATTGCACTTCGACAGAGAGCCGCTCAGTCTTTTCTCCTTCGAGTGCTAACATCGATCAAAGAGCGCTTTGGATGCGCTCTCCAAGACGTTTCCTATCATGTTTGTTCTTGACAGCACTTGACAGGTGTAGTGCAGTCCACACTGATTCCACAGTCAAAATGAGACTGCGTTCATATGTCCAGCTGTAGTATCGAAACAGTCCTTTCAGGACCATGGAAAATCATCAACATTTCGAGAAGGAGCTTCGAGCAATGTTTGATTTCCTACATCGCGGTCGCTAGTTACGGGTCAAAATTCGACATTGGGACAAGAAAAGGCGGTCGCTGGTCGCGTTCAGCAGGTAGTCGCTAGTCACAGTGCATTTTGAATGTGAGACCGTCCGTGCCTGACGAAGTGGTCGGTAGTACCAGGCCGGTCGCTAGTCACGGTGGTCTTAAGTTACAGGTTTTACTGTAGTACCAGGCTGGTCGCTAGTCACGGTGGTCTTTAGTTACAGGTTTTACTGTAGTACCAGGCTGGTCGCTAGTCACGGTGGTCTTTAGTTACAGGTTTTACTGTAGTACCAGGCTGGTCGCTAGTCACGGTGGTCTTTAGTTACAGGTTTTACTGTAGTACCAGGATGGTTGCTAGTCACGGTGGTCTTAAGTTACAGGTTTTACTGTAGTACCAGGCTGGTCGCTAGTCACGGTGGTCTTTAGTTACAGGTTTTACTGTAGTACCAGGCTGGTCGCTAGTCACGGTGGTCTTTAGTTACAGGTTTTACTGTAGTACCAGGCTGGTCGCTAGTCACGGTGGTCTTAAGTTACAGGTTTTACTGTAGTACCAGGCTGGTCGCTAGTCACGGTGGTCTTTAGTTACAGGTTTTACTGTAGTACCAGGCTGGTCGCTAGTCACGGTGGTCTTAAGTTACAGGTTTTACTGTAGTACCAGGCTGGGCGCTAGTCACGGTGGTCTTTAGTTACAGGTTTTACTGTAGTACCAGGCTGGTCGCTAGTCACGGTGGTCTTTAGTTACAGGTTTTACTGTAGTACCAGGCTGGTCGCTAGTCACGGTGGTCTTAAGTTACAGGTTTTACTGTAGTACCAGGCTGGTCGCTAGTCACGGTGGTCTTTAGTTACAGGTTTTACTGTAGTACCAGGCTGGTCGCTAGTCACGGTGGTCTTTAGTTACAGGTTTTACTGTAGTACCAGGCTGGTCGCTAGTCACGGTGGTCTTTAGTTACAGGTTTTACTGTAGTACCAGGCTGGTCGCTACTCACGGTGGTCTTTAGTTACAGGTTTTACTGTAGTACCAGGCTGGTCGCTAGTCACGCTGGTCTTTAGTTACAGGTTTTACTGTAGTACCAGGCTGGTCGCTAGTCACTGTGGTCTTTAGTTACAGGTTTTACTGTAGTACCAGGCTGGTCGCTAGTCACGGTGGTCTTTAGTTACAGGTTTT